TGCCGCTACCTCCTCATCCAGATTATGCAAGGCCTGCAAACTGCAAGGCAGAGGGCTCACCATGCCTTCGCCGGCCCTTCTGCTGCGTGTACCATGTGCAGGTGCCGGCCCAGCTGCTGGCCGCCTTTGTCAACCAAGTGTGGACCCGCTGCCGGCTTCCTGGTGCCCTTCCCCAGCATGCCAGCGGCGAGTTTGGCAACAGCCAGCGTTGCTGATCTATGCTTGTAGTGCCCGCCCGCTTGCCTCAGCTGAGAAGAGCTGTACGTTTGCCAGACTGATGGCGTTTGCTGTGCTCTGTGCCATAAAGGGATGGCAATGGATGAATCATATCAGTCCCACAGCCTGGACGCTGGAGGGCCTTGTGGGCCGCCAGCTGTGCGACAACATGATCTCAATGCTGGTGGGTCCCGCCCATGCTGGCTGCCTTGCCTGCAACCGCAAGCTCAGGAATCGGCCACATGTATGTTGACTGAGTGCGCCCTACGGCGGCCTGCTGTGACAACAAACCCAATGTGCAGGGCTAGGGCCAGCACCACGACGACCGTTGCCCAGTTCATGGAGTCCAGCTTTGGGTACAGTTTCGACATGATTTGGTGGTGTATCCTCATCCTCTTCTCCTACTGCCTCTTCTTCAGGGGTGAGTGGCACATGCCTGAGATATGATGGGGGCCCTGGCTGGTGTCTGCCATAGGCAGAGGTGTATGGTGTGGCGCGCTGGTATCCGATCTGCCGTGCTGACTGGTCTCCCTGCTGCAGTGCATCAACTTCCAAAAGCGCTGACGTGTATGGGCAAACACAATAGACCATTCATTGACGCGCCCTTGCTTTCGCCGGGTCCCGTGCCCCTGCGCCGGCGGCTGTTTGTTTTGTGTATCTGACCATGCCTACATGTTGTCATGAAAACTCCCACCACACTACCCCATGTTGACGGATCACTTGTACCCTACCATTCAATCGGCCTTTTCTGTCGCACAAGGCGCGGGGCATCAAGGAGTCTGGCGGCACGGAGTTGAACCCGCCCACTTTGAGATCTACACCAAGGGGGGCAGCCTGGCGCTGCCTAACACTGCAGCAGCTACTGGAGAGAGAGAGAGAGAGAGAGAGAGTGACCTGATGTCATTGCCCAGCACCAGTTGCAGCTTTATGACAATGCCTCACCACGGTCCTGCAAGCTGTGCCATGGCCCATTGCAGCGCGACAACCTACAGCATGGTGCAGAGTTTTGTCAAACATGGAATGGCCAAGACCTTCCTCATCGCCATGCTGCAGCCAGTGGCCGATCACTAGCGTCACAGAAGGGGTCCCATGGTGGTGACGACCACGGACATTCTGGTCATACTGCGACAGCACGCATCCTACCTACTAATCATGCTGCTGTGGTTGTGCTTGATGGTGCATAGACGTGGCACAGGAGCGCCACAGGGGCGCAAGCGCGATGGAGACAGGTGGAGCAGCGGGGCGCAGCCAGCGGGGCGGCGGCGGGCCTGGGTAAGGAGTGCGGAGTGCGGGCGATCGAGCCTGTGTCATATCAGTTCAGTGGGATCAAGGGATTCAGAAATCCTGGTCCTCCCGTGCATTTTGCAGCCCCAACCGGCGCCACTCCTGTTCTCTTCTTCGCCTTTCACCAAACCTGCATGCCCACCAGACCCATGGTGGAACCCAGTGCCGGACCGTAGACCCAAGTAGCAGCCCGTTTGAAGTAACGATGTCGCTTGCGCAGGCTGCACTCCTGCTGCTCGCTGCTGGTGAGGCCTCACTGAGCTACGGTATCCGCAGCCCAGTGCGGCCTGCGCTGTTGCAAACAGCAGACACCACTGCCGCCGCCACCCAGCGCGCTGCCGCCAAGCTGCTGCCTTTGGCCGGTGTTGCTACCTCATGCAGGCTCTGTGGTGGGTGACGGTCATCGACATCCCACACTGGCGATCGTCATGCTGCCAGGTGGCCAAAGCCACGCATTCCAGGGTATCGCCATTGCTCGCAGCATGCGGGGCAGGGGCTGGCGCACCGCGATGGTGCTGCCTGATTTCGACCACGACAATTTGGAGGGCAAGAAACTGCTGGGTGGCGGCCTGGAAACTGTGGTGTACAAGTCACCGCCAGACATCAACGAGCAGTTTGAGGTGAGCAGCAAGCAAAAGGAGAGGTGCCTTGCTGACTTACAGTTGCACGCTTGCTCTTGTTACAGCTGGACTGTCAACCCCCACAAGCAAGCAACTCCCACAACCACCTTGCTGAGGCTGAGTGCTCGCTTACAATGCAGGAAGCGATGTTGCAGCTGGAGACGAGGCCACGAGAGGTGTGCCCATGCATCGCACCCACATTTGGTTGTTGCGCCGCCTGTTTTGCTTGCAACGTCCATCAGCCCCCTGTTGCATGCAGTTCGTCGCCGTATATACCAGCCATTTTGAGCAAATGTGTCGGCACTTGCTAGACAATGGTGCGGCCTTGAACGCCCTGCGGGGTATGGCCGTGGACCTGCTCCTGATAGATGTCGCCTACCATTGCGGCCTGGCAGTTGCAGGTAATCAATCGCCGATGTATACAGCCTGGTACAAAATGAACGGGCGCAAAAAAGGCAACCGTGTTAAAGATGCGCGTGCGCCCCCCTGGTGTGCAGAGCTGTTGCAGAAGCGTGTCGTGCTCCTTAACCCCATGGACATTGTGGACCCTTTCTTGAGCCGATATGGCGGCGTGCCCCACTCCCTGGCTGTCCACGCCGCCATGGGATCAGGCCTGGTGCACCCCATGGTGCGGACAACTTATGCCTTGGAGGCGCGGGGTGGCGCCGATCCTCTGCCCTTCCTCCACTACTCTGCAACCATTTTTATGCATCTCACGAATCCTCGAATGCAGTCCTGGCTGGAGCGGGCGACCAATGCCTTGCTGTCACCTGTCTTGTTTTCCTTTGGTTTGTCAGTGGCACGCGCCTCTGCACAACGAATTGCCCGCGACTACAATTTACCTGGCGCTGCTGATCCACAAGACATGTTGCGCGGCTCGCGCATTATGCTGATCAATGCAGCAGATGGTGTGTCCGTGCCGCGTTCTTTGCCGTCCAATGTTAAGGCAAGTCGTGTTGCACGTGCTGCTTGCACAAAACCAAACCACAGGGGAGCATCTGCCTCAGAGATTGAGGTGGTTCATTTTCGTGATGCATCATGCGTGTCTTCCCCTTGATGGCTGCAGCTCGTGGGGCCTCTGCTGGGTGGCGGAGAAGCCAAGCCGCTGCCAGCCGACCTATCCGCCATTTTGGAGGGAGCAGGACCAAGGGGGGTGGTGTATGTCAGGTGATGGCAAGCGGCTGCTTGGCACCCTTAGCTAGGTGGGGAAGAGCATGCCGTCCAGCCAGCCAGCCAGCCAGCAAGCGGTGACGTTTGCCCGTTAATGTTGCTCCCGTGCTGCCTCCGCAGCTTTGGCACCACTTTCCGGCCCTCCAGCTGCGATGTGGTGCTCGGCCTGGCGGCAGCGCTGTCTGCTGTAAACACCACTGTGATATGGGCTGTGGACCTTGCCCACCTTCCAGTTGGCTGCCCTCTGGATGTGGCCAGCCTGCCGCCCAGCATTCATGTGATGCGTTGGGTGCCTCAAGACGACCTGCTGAGCCACCCACAGCTCAGGGCCTTTTTGTCGCATGCGGGGGTCAACAGGTGAGAACATGGCCTGGACTTGCAGCCTGGGCATGCAGCCTGCTGAAACCATTGCCAAAAATCACACTTTGCTTGCCAGCTGGTCAGCTGATGGCCGTATGTTTGCATCGTCTGCCTCGCAGCCTCAATCAGGCGGCCTATCGCGGCAAGCCGATGGTGTGCATGCCCTTGGCTGGCGATCAATATGACAATTGTGCCAGGGTAAGTCGGGCAATTTGCTAACTCAAGCCGTGTATTAGGCGCCCATTTTGATATCCTCCCTTGGTGAGCGTTATGCTGCTACGACAACAACATGTCTCCCGCCCATGCAGGCGGTGAAGGGCGGCTGGGGACTTCACTTCAAAAAGGGAGACCTCAGCCCGTCGACTGCCCACAAGCTGGCAGCCATGCTGGAGCAAGCGGCGGCAAAAGACTCCCCACTTGCACAGCGTGCGGCTGTTGTGAGCGGCATGCTGAATGCGCACCCGCGGCCAGCGGTGGAGCTTGCAGCAGGTGGGCCAGGAGCTTCACAACTTGGGGCGTCAATGATGGACCAGCTGTGCTGCTGTGTTGTGCAACACCGGCTGAGGTTCATTCAAAGCCACAATTTCTGCCTTCGGCGCTTGCAGCATCCTGAGCCCTCATCCCGGGTGTCCTCTCTTGCCACACAGACTGGATTGAGTATGCGCTGGCGTTGCCGCCAGATGCGGACCTGTCTGACCCGGCTGTGGCCATGCCTCATTGGAAGCGCTACTGCCTGGACGTTTACGCCGTGGCGGCAGTGGCCGTTGCGGCAGTGCTCGGCGTCGCCGCGCTGGTGCTGCGGCTTGCGTGGCGCGGGTTGATGGGCTTGCGGGTGAAGCACGGCAAAATGGAGTGATCAGTACAATTGTAACTTTCTCTTCCGAGTATCAAAACCAATCAGGATCTGACGGGGTATCTGCACAGTCACAGCTGCCGGGGCGCAAACCAGCAGGGAGATGCAGTCTTGAACACACCAGTTCATGTCGCTGAGGTGGCCTGCGCCAGCGAGGCTGGCTCGCAGCCCAACCGTGCGTGCCGTTGCAGCAGGCAACCGTAACACCATTGCTTGCCTTGCTCATACAACACGTGGCTTCCTGAGCGCACTCTGTAAGTGCCCACTCGGGAGGGGGCTTGTGGCGTTGTGAGAGGTTAATTGGTCTGTTGCCCCTCGTGACTCAGTATCACGGCACACCTATTGACGCCATCTGCTGCGAGTTTGGCGCGTGAACAGCCCGCACTCCCGTCCTCTTTATATCGACAAAGCTCTGCCCCGCGCTGCGCCACACCGCGTTGCATACGCTATGTGTGGCGTGCCAGACTGGTTTGTGGCCGCGGTGCTGGCGGCCGTCGCCTTGGCGGCTGCGCTGCTAGCGACCCGCCGCTGCGGCATACCCTCGCCCATGGGGCCCTGGTACTCAGACATGATGATGCCTGTTCTGCGCACCGGCCGGTTTCCAGGTGAACTAGGTCCATGGCTTGTGCCGCCTTGCTTGGTGCCTCCCTGCTGTGCAGGTTGTGCGCCCGCTGCCGCTTACTTGTGTTGCCGCTCTCGCTCTCCAGGTGCCCTCCTCCGGCTGCCACTTCCTGCCACCACTGCCGTTCCTGCAGACATGGTGAAACTTCACGCCCAGCACGGCCCGTTGTTTTGGTGGAGTTTCCTTGGGCGCCGGATGTTGATGGTTGGGACCCTGGAGGCTGTCACAAGAGTCCATTTGGGGGAGGGGGTGATAGTGAGGGCCGACTACCCCACAAGTGTGCGCAAGGTGAGTGCACAGTTGCAGATGCCGGCTTTCACTCAGCACTGCAGCATATACCCAATCATGCATGTTCAATCACATTGCCGTGCAGCTGCTGGGACCCTGGGGCACGCTCAACACCCATGGCAAAGCACACATCCGCATCAAGTAAGCTTGCGACCAGCCTGCTGCAGGCTGCTTACATGATGGTGATGGCCTCATGCCACGCTTGCCCTTCCGTCACGTTCCGCAGGCGCCTTGCACAGCCCGCTTTCACTCCAAAGGCCATCCGTGGCTACCTGCCTCGCATGCAAGCCATTGCAGAGCAGGCGGTACAGAAGTGGGCAGCAGAGGGCGACATCCTGTGAGCATGGGGCCCCTCTGCTTCCGGCTGGCTGCAGACTGCCGCGCCGCACGCTGCCCCCTTGGTAACTAGCCTATCTCAGTCACAGCCTTGGACCGCCATCCTGTGAATTGCAGGGTTCACCAGGAGATGAAGTGAGGACGGGTGGTGGCTGTGATGCAGCCTGCAGCCTCAAACAAGCTGGTCCAGTGCCACCGCTGCATGCCCCCCTCTGCTAGCATAGCCGTCCCAGCACCCATCCCGTTCTGCCTGCAGGTGGTTCACGTTCCGCGTCGTTGTTGAGACCATTGTCGGGTGCGACGATGGCTGGACCAGCCCCGAGAATTTCCCTGCAGTCAGTTCGGATTTTGAGGTCTGGGTGGCAGGCCTGTTCAGGTGGGTACGGTGTGTATGGGACTTAGCTGGCCTGCACCTGAGTACCTACTTAGCACTGACGGCATCACTCGCTGCGTTGTGATGCCATGCATCCTGCAGCATTCCGCTTGCCATCCCCGGCACGGCTTTTGCTCGTGGCTTGAAGAAGCGGACAGCACTGATGCGCCGCATACACGCCAGCCTCGACCTGGCGGAGGCAGCTGGACAGCATGGGCCTGGTGCAGGGGGCGGCAGGAATCCCGCTTCACACGATGATGGGGGTGCAGCTGGCGCCGAGCAGCCGTCTGCTTTGGACCTGCTGATGCGAAGCAGGGATGAGGAGGGCGTTGGACTGACCAGGCAAGGTTCCGTCATGGGAGCGCGGGCCGCTTTCTGCTGTGGGCTTACTTTGTGAAAGTTTCGGCGCAGTGGCAGCCATTGCCAATTGCAGATAGATAGACACATCGAGAGACCAGCTGGTCACTCATTCTCTCCCCCGCTCTTATCTGCGCGCCTGGCCCGCAGGGACCAGATCGCAGATACTGTGCTGACCCTGCTTTTTGCCGGCCACGACACCAGCAGCTCCACATTGACACGCATCTTTCAGCACCTGCACCGCCACCCCGAGGCGGTGCAGCGCCTGCGACAGGAGCAGGTGGTGTTTTTGAGGAGACTGCCGCGGATACTTTGCCGACCCTGCTTTGTGCCGGCTCAATCCATCCACAACACCATGGGTAGTTGCTCTTAAAGCAGTCTCGTTGCATCGTGTCCTGCCGCCTCTGCCAGGCTGAGGTGGTTGCCAAGCACGGCTCCCCCGTCACCGAGGCGGCTCTGCAAGACATGAAGTATGCAGAGGGGGTGGTGCGCGAGACCATGCGTATCACTCCAATCATCAATGCCACCCTGCGAGTGGCGTTGCAGGTGGGATGGAGGTGGATCAGCAGGCACATGTGGGCAGCCATGAACTTTGCTGCTAGCGTGTCGTGACATGCCGCGCCTTGCCGTTAACAGCCTTGCTAACCCCCGCGTGTGAACATCTGGTGCTTCAACATGAGTGCAAACCCGATCTTCGATTCGCCTACCTCCTGTGCAGGACTTTGAGCTGTGTGGATACACCATCAAGAAGGGCACCGCCTTGCAGTGCAGCCTGACGCAGCCAATCAAGACAGACTCCAGGTCAACCTTGAGCTTGTTGGCGAGAGGAGCTGAGCGTGTCAAAGTGCTGCTCCTGGTTCCAGCCGTTGCGGTTCAAGCACGATGTTTTCCGTGCCCTGCCCATCCATCTGTGCAGGTGGCAGGATGAGGATGATGTGCAGGCATTCAAGCCCGAGCGATGGTTGCATGGAGCGGCGCAGAAGCAGGGCGCTTGGATCCCGTTTGGCGGCGGCCAGCGGCTGTGCCTGGGCTGGCTGCTGGCAATGACGGAAATGAAGGTGTGGGCTGTTGGGTGGCTCATTGATGAGATGCCAGCATGGCATACTCAGGCTTGACCTCCCAGGTGCTCCTGTCCTGCCTTCAGGTGCTGCTGGCAAGTATCTTCCGAAGGTACGCATTGGAGCTCCGCCTGCCTGAGGAGCCGTGGGTGGAGTTCCCAATTGCCAGGCCCAAACACGGAATGCCTGCCCGCTTTGTCGCGACCATGGACGCCTCTTAACACGCACACAATCTCATCGTAATCAACATGTTCTGTACAGCCCCCCTTTTAGCAGTTTGCTGTTTGCCGCCCTGCGCCATTGCATGCATGCGTCCCCTACTGGCAACTTCTCATTCATGCAAGCAACTTGGCCTGCCCAGGTCACTGACTGAACAGATCCTAGCAGATGATGCAGCGCAGATCAGTGTAGCGTGCAGCACGCCCGAACTTGGGGGTCTTGCGGCTGGGGTCGGCGGCGCAAGGCGGGCATACCTATGGTATATGTATACTATATGCGGGAGAGGACGGTGGTGCTGCCGGCCGCCACATTACGCCCCAATTCGGCAGGGAACATGAACTGGAGGTGGCGGTGCGACCCGTGCCAGGCGCCGGGGCGCGCGCTTCCAGCGCAAAGCTGCGGCTCGAGCAGACAGCTGTCAGGGAGACAGCTGCCATCCCTCTGTGCTGTTCAATGCATCCAACTGAGTTTTCATCTCATTTGCGGCGGGGCAGGTGGAGCGGCGGGGCAGCCAGCGGCGGCGACAGCGGAGCGGCAGGCGGCTGCTGCAGCTGGCGGCGTGGCCGCGGCGGTCGGCCGCAGAATGAGAATGCGGGCGATCGAGCCTGACTGACTCGCACCTGTCTCAGCACACTTCAGTGGGAGCCAGAGATTTAGAAACTCGGTCCTCCCCGTGCATTTTGCAGCCCCAACCGGCGCCACTCCTGTTCTCTTCTTCGCCTTTCACCAAACCTGCATGCCCACCAGACCCATGGTGGAACCCAGTGCCGGACCGTAGACCCAAGTAGCAGCCCGTTTGACGTAACGATGTCGCTTGCGCAGGCTGCACTCCTGCTGCTCGCTGCTGGTGAGGCCTCACTGAGCTACGGTATCCGCAGCCCAGTGCGGCCTGCGCTGTTGCAAACAGCAGACACCACTGCCGCCGCCACCCAGCGCGCTGCCGCCAAGCTGCTGCCTTTGGCCGGTGTTGCTACCTCATGCAGGCTCTGTGGTGGGTGGTCATCGACATCCCACACTGGCGATCGTCATGCTGCCAGGTGGCCAAAGCCACGCATTCCAGGGTATCGCCATTGCTCGCAGCATGCGGGGCAGGGGCTGGCGCACCGCGATGGTGCTGCCTGATTTCGACCACGACAATTTGGAGGGCAAGAAACTGCTGGGTGGCGGCCTGGAAACTGTGGTGTTTAAGACACCACCATACACCAACAAACGTTTTCAGGTGAGCAGGAAGCAAAGGGGAGGTGCTTGGCTGCTCGCCTCCCCCCACAACCCAATGGGTTTGTCGCTGTCGCTGTCCTCTCTCACGTTGCAGGAAGAGATGTTGAAGCAGGAAGAGCTGATGGAGCTAAAAACAAACCTGCACGAGGTAGGTTGTGTAGCGCTAGAGCCATTGCTGTACATTTATCTCCCTCGCCAGTTGTGCTCGCAAGCTGTATCCTGTTGCGTGCAGTTCGTCGCCATGCACGCCCGCCACTTTGAGCAAATGTGCCGGCACTTACTTGACGACGGCGCTGCCATGGATGCCCTGCGAGGCTTGGATGCTGACATGCTCCTTCTAGATGTCCTCTTCTCTTGCGGCGAGGCAATTGCAGGTAGCGTAGGTTTGCAACACACAGGCCACCGCACAGGCACAATGTTCAAGAGCCAGCCAATTGTAGATGCGCCTCCCTCCCCCCCCGGGTGTGCAGAGCTGTTGCAGACGCGTGTGATGCTTCTGGACCCTGTGGACATTGTGGACCCTTTCATGAGCAAGTTGGACCGCTTCCCGTACTCCCTTGCTGTCCACGCCGCCATGGGATCAGGCCTGGTGCACCCCATGGTGCGGACAACTTATGCCTTGGAGGCGCGGGGTGGCGCCGATCCTCTGTCCTTCCTCCACTACTCTGCAACCATTTTTATGCATCTCACGAATCCTCGAATGCAGTCCTGGCTGGAGCGGGCGACCAATGCCTTGGTGTCGCCTGTGATTTTCTCCCTTGCCCAATCGGTAGCACGCGCCTCTGCGCAACGAATTGCCCTCGACTACAATTTGTCTGGCGCTGCTCATCCTCAAGGCTTGTTCCGCGGCTCGCGCATCCTGCTGGTCAATGCAGCAGATGGTGTGTCCGTGCCGCGTTCTTTGCCTTCCAATGTTAAGGCAAGTGTGGAGAGGTGTGGGAGAGGTGTGGTGGGGTTGCACGTGCTGCTTGCACAAAACCAAACCACAGGGGAGCATCTGCCTCAGAGATTGAGGTGGTTCATTTTCGTGATGCATCATGCGTGTCTTCCCCTTGATGGCTGCAGCTCGTGGGGCCTCTGCTGGGTGGCGGAGAAGCCAAGCCGCTGCCAGCCGACCTATCCGCCATTTTGGAGGGAGCAGGACCAAGGGGGGTGGTGTATGTCAGGTGATGGCAAGCGGCTGCTTGGCACCCTTAGCTAGGTGGGGAAGAGCATGCCGTCCAGCCAGCCAGCCAGCCAGCAAGCGGTGACGTTTGCCCGTTAATGTTGCTCCCGTGCTGCCTCCGCAGCTTTGGCACCACTTTCCGGCCCTCCAGCTGCGATGTGGTGCACGGCCTGGCGGCAGCGCTGTCTGCTGTAAACACCACTGTGATATGGGCTGTGGACCTTGCCCACCTTCCAGTTGGCTGCCCTCTGGATGTGGCCAGCCTGCCGCCCAGCATTCATGTGATGCGTTGGGTGCCTCAAGACGACCTGCTGAGCCACCCACAGCTCAGGGCCTTTTTGTCGCATGCGGGGGTCAACAGGTGAGAACATGGCCTGGACTTGCAGCCTGGGCATGCAGCCTGCTGAAACCATTGCCAAAAATCACACTTTGCTTGCCAGCTGGTCAGCTGATGGCCGTATGTTTGCATTGTCTGCCTCGCAGCATCTATGAGGCCGCCCGTCGCGGCAAGCCCATGGTGTGCATGCCCTTGGCTGGTGATCAGTATGACGGTTGTGCCAAGGCAAGAATACCAGCTCACCAGTTAGAGCGTAATGCTCGCCAATACAGATATGCTCAATACTTGATCGCTTAAACCTTGGTCGGTTGTGAAGGCTCAATTGTTGGCAGCTTGCCTCCCGCCCATGCAGGCGGTGAAGGGCGGCTGGGGACTTCAGTTCAAAAAGGGAGACCTCAGCCCGTCGACTGCCCACAAGCTGGCAGCCATGCTGGAGCAAGCGGCGGCAAAAGACTCCCCACTTGCACAGCGTGCGGCTGTTGTGAGCGGCATGCTGAATGCGCACCCGCGGCCAGCAATGGAGCTTGCAGCAGGTGGGCCAGGAGCTTCACAACTTGGGGCGTCAATGATGGACCAGCTGTGCTGCTGTGTTGTGCAACACCGGCTGAGGTTCATTCAAAGCCACAATTTCTGCCTTCGGCGCTTGCAGCATCCTGAGCCCTCATGCCGGGTGTCCTCTCTTGCCACACAGACTGGATTGAGTATGCGCTGGCGTTGCCGCCAGATGCGGACCTGTCTGACCCGGCTGTGGCCATGCCTCATTGGAAGCGCTACTGCCTGGACGTTTACGCCGTGGCGGCAGTGGCCGTTGCGGCAGTGCTCGGCGTCGCCGCGCTGGTGCTGCGGCTTGCGTGGCGCGGGTTGATGGGCTTGCGGGTGAAGCACGGCAAAATGGAGTGATCAGTACAATTGTAACTTTCTCTTCCGAGTATCAAAACCAATCAGGATCTGACGGGGTATCTGCACAGTCACAGCTGCCGGGGCGCAAACCAGCAGGGAGATGCAGTCTTGAACACACCAGTTCATGTCGCTGAGGTGGCCTGCGCCAGCGAGGCTGGCTCGCAGCCCAACCGTGCGTGCCGTTGCAGCAGGCAACCGTAACACCATTGCTTGCCTTGCTCATACAACACGTGGCTTCCTGAGCGCACTCTGTAAGTGCCCACTCGGGAGGGGGCTTGTGGCGTTGTGAGAGGTTAATTGGTCTGTTGCCCCTCGTGACTCAGTATCACGGCACACCTATTGACGCCATCTGCTGCGAGTTTGGCGCGTGAACAGCCCGCACTCCCGTCCTCTTTATATCGACAAAGCTCTGCCCCGCGCTGCGCCACACCGCGTTGCATACGCTATGTGTGGCGTGCCAGACTGGTTTGTGGCCGCGGTGCTGGCGGCCGTCGCCTTGGCGGCTGCGCTGCTAGCGACCCGCCGCTGCGGCATACCCTCGCCCATGGGGCCCTGGTACTCAGACATGATGATGCCTGTTCTGCGCACCGGCCGGTTTCCAGGTGAACTAGGTCCATGGCTTGTGCCGCCTTGCTTGGTGCCTCCCTGCTGTGCAGGTTGTGCGCCCGCTGCCGCTTACTTGTGTTGCCGCTCTCGCTCTCCAGGTGCCCTCCTCCGGCTGCCACTTCCTGCCACCACTGCCGTTCCTGCAGACATGGTGAAACTTCACGCCCAGCACGGCCCGTTGTTTTGGTGGAGTTTCCTTGGGCGCCGGATGTTGATGGTTGGGACCCTGGAGGCTGTCACAAGAGTCCATTTGGGGGAGGGGGTGATAGTGAGGGCCGACTACCCCACAAGTGTGCGCAAGGTGAGTGCACAGTTGCAGATGCCGGCTTTCACTCAGCACTGCAGCATATACCCAATCATGCATGTTCAATCACATTGCCGTGCAGCTGCTGGGACCCTGGGGCACGCTCAACACCCATGGCAAAGCACACATCCGCATCAAGTAAGCTTGCGACCAGCCTGCTGCAGGCTGCTTACATGATGGTGATGGCCTCATGCCACGCTTGCCCTTCCGTCACGTTCCGCAGGCGCCTTGCACAGCCCGCTTTCACTCCAAAGGCCATTCGTGGCTACCTGCCTCGCATGCAAGCCATTGCAGAGCAGGCAGTACAGAAGTGGGCAGCAGAGGGCGACATCCTGTGAGCATGGGGCCCCTCTGCTTCCGGCTGGCTGCAGACTGCCGCGCCGCACGCTGCCCCCTTGGTAACTAGCCTATCTCAGTCACAGCCTTGGACCGCCATCCTGTGAATTGCAGGGTTCACCAGGAGATGAAGTGAGGACGGGTGGTGGCTGTGATGCAGCCTGCAGCCTCAAACAAGCTGGTCCAGTGCCACCGCTGCATGCCCCCCTCTGCTAGCATAGCCGTCCCAGCACCCATCCCGTTCTGCCTGCAGGTGGTTCACGTTCCGCGTCGTTGTTGAGACCATTGTCGGGTGCGACGATGGCTGGACCAGCCCCGAGAATTTCCCTGCAGTCAGTTCGGATTTTGAGGTCTGGGTGGCAGGCCTGTTCAGGTGGGTACGGTGTGTATGGGACTTAGCTGGCCTGCACCTGAGTACCTACTTAGCACTGACGGCATCACTCGCTGCGTTGTGATGCCATGCATCCTGCAGCATTCCGCTTGCCATCCCCGGCACTGCTTTTGCTCGTGGCTTGAAGAAGCGGACAGCACTGATGCGCCGCATACACGCCAGCCTCGACCTGGCGGAGGCAGCTGGACAGCATGGGCCTGGTGCAGGGGGCGGCAGGAATCCCGCTTCACACGATGATGGGGGTGCAGCTGGCGCCGAGCAGCCGTCTGCTTTGGACCTGCTGATGCGAAGCAGGGATGAGGAGGGCGTTGGACTGACCAGGCAAGGTTCCGTCATGGGAGCGCGGGCCGCTTTCTGCTGTGGGCTTACTTTGTGAAAGTTTCGGCGCAGTGGCAGCCATTGCCAATTGCAGATAGATAGACACATCGAGAGACCAGCTGGTCACTCATTCTCTCCCCCGCTCTTATCTGCGCGCCTGGCCCGCAGGGACCAGATCGCAGATACTGTGCTGACCCTGCTTTTTGCCGGCCACGACACCAGCAGCTCCACATTGACACGCATCTTTCAGCACCTGCACCGCCACCCCGAGGCGGTGCAGCGCCTGCGGCAGGAGCAGGTGGTGTTTTTGAGGAGACTGCCGCGGATACTTTGCCGACCCTGCTTTGTGCCGGCTCAATCCATCCACAACACCATGGGTAGTTGCTCTTAAAGCAGTCTCGTTGCATCGTGTCCTGCCGCCTCTGCCAGGCTGAGGTGGTTGCCAAGCACGGCTCCCCCGTCACCGAGGCGGCTCTGCAAGACATGAAGTATGCAGAGGGGGTGGTGCGCGAGACCATGCGTATCACTCCAATCATCAATGCCACCCTGCGAGTGGCGTTGCAGGTGGGATGGAGGTGGATCAGCAGGCACATGTGGGCAGCCATGAACTTTGCTGCTAGCGTGTCGTGACATGCCGCGCCTTGCCGTTAACAGCCTTGCTAACCCCCGCGTGTGAACATCTGGTGCTTCAACATGAGTGCAAACCCGATCTTCGATTCGCCTACCTCCTGTGCAGGACTTTGAGCTGTGTGGATACACCATCAAGAAGGGCACCGCCTTGCAGTGCAGCCTGACGCAGCCAATCAAGACAGACTCCAGGTCAACCTTGAGCTTGTTGGCGAGAGGAGCTGAGCGTGTCAAAGTGCTGCTCCTGGTTCCAGCCGTTGCGGTTCAAGCACGATGTTTTCCGTGCCCTGCCCATCCATCTGTGCAGGTGGCAGGATGAGGATGATGTGCAGGCATTCAAGCCCGAGCGATGGTTGCATGGAGCGGCGCAGAAGCAGGGCGCTTGGATCCCGTTTGGCGGCGGCCAGCGGCTGTGCCTGGGCTGGCTGCTGGCAATGACGGAAATGAAGGTGTGGGCTGTTGGGTGGCTCATTGATGAGATGCCAGCATGGCATACTCAGGCTTGACCTCCCAGGTGCTCCTGTCCTGCCTTCAGGTGCTGCTGGCAAGTATCTTCCGAAGGTACGCATTGGAGCTCCGCCTGCCTGAGGAGCCGTGGGTGGAGTTCCCAATTGCCAGGCCCAAACACGGAATGCCTGCCCGCTTTGTCGCGACCATGGACGCCTCTTAACACGCACACAATCTCATCGTAATCAACATGTTCTGTACAGCCCCCCTTTTAGCAGTTTGCTGTTTGCCGCCCTGCGCCATTGCATGCATGCGTCCCCTACTGGCAACTTCTCATTCATGCAAGCAACTTGGCCTGCCCAGGTCACTGACTGAACAGATCCTAGCAGATGATGCAGCGCAGATCAGTGTAGCGTGCAGCACGCCCGAACTTGGGGGTCTTGCGGCTGGGGTCGGCGGCGCAAGGCGGGCATACCTATGGTATATGTATACTATATGCGGGAGAGGACGGTGGTGCTGCCGGCCGCCACATTACGCCCCAATTCGGCAGGGAACATGAACTGGAGGTGGCGGTGCGACCCGTGCCAGGCGCCGGGGCGCGCGCTTCCAGCGCAAAGCTGCGGCTCGAGCAGACAGCTGTCAGGGAGACAGCTGCCATCCCTCTGTGCTGTTCAATGCATCCAACTGAGTTTTCATCTCATTTGCGGCGGGGCAGGTGGAGCGGCGGGGCAGCCAGCGGCGGCGACAGCGGAGCGGCAGGCGGCTGCTGCAGCTGGCGGCGTGGCCGCGGCGGTCGGCCGCAGAATGAGAATGCGGGCGATCGAGCCTGACTGACTCGCACCTGTCTCAGCACACTTCAGTGGGAGCCAGAGATTTAGAAACTCGGTCCTCCCCGTGCATTTCTCGTGTATCGCACATGTTTTTGGCCTGCCTTTCGTAGCGTAGCGAAGAAGGCGAAGGCCTCCGGATCCCGACCATACCGACTTTGACGCACCCATTTCATGGCAACTCACGCTCAGTTTTGCCTTGTTGGCAACTCTAATTTCCTTGCACCGCATTAGAAGACTAGATTCCGGTTCATTAGCCCTTTAGGAGCATTTCTGTTGCGAATTGGCCGCGAAAGAGTGCCAGACCACGAAGATTGAGGGGCGCCAACGTGGTGCGCGCCTTTTTCAAAACTTGCCAGCCGTTTCGCGAGTCGTGTACCCGGCTGCCACCGTCTCCCACATTCCTCCACCTTCTGATTCCCGCCCGATCTGCCCTCTTCCCCCATCCTGCATCTACGACTCCTTTCAAGGGGGTCTGCATCCCAGGGCAGGCAGGCCCTCGCGCGCGAAAGAACGATTATTATAATATTCTTCTTCCAATCTACTATACCTGCTCATCGTGGACAAAGCCACAGCTAACATGCCAGCCTTGCCCAGCCGGGAGGAGCGCCTCAGTGCCTATGCACCCACAGGGCGCACAGCGGTGGTCACTGGTGGAACAAAAGGCAAGAATGAGGCCACTAAGTGCTGCGGCGCAGGGCCTCCGCCAAGCCACCGCCGCCGCATTTGCCACTCCCGCTCGCTCCTGTTTGTGGGCATGCGCGGCCTGTTCGTCTTATGCATTGCAGGCATCGGGAAAGCAGTCGTGGAGGAGTTGGCGGGGCTTGGTGCCAGGCGAGCTGGCCCAACTCGCCGCCGCCCGCACTTGTCTCACTTGTCGCCGACCGCCAACCATCTTGTTGCATCCTTTGATGCAGGGTCTTCACCTGCGCTCGCAATGCAGCGGATCTAGAGGAGCTGCTTGGTCAATGCAGGGAGGCGGGTTGGGACGACGTGCAAGGCATAGTCGCGGATGTGTCGTTGCCCAATGACCGGCAACGGGTGATGGAGGGAGCGGCGGCAGCATTTGGCGGCAAGCTGAATGTGTTGTTCAACAACGTGGGCACGTTCATCACGCCTACAACAGTGGATGTCACTCAGGTGCGCAGCCCTGCAAAGCGATGGCAACAGCAAGACATGCAGCTGGCTTGCGTTGGTTACACCAAAGCGGAAGATATGTTCCTCCTGATGCCCCGGGCGCTTGGCACACTGCAGGCCGAGTTCCAGCACCTGATCAACAGCAATCTGGAGTCCGCCTTTGCTCTCTCCCAGCTGGCCCACCCGCTGCTCAAGGCCAGCGGGGACGGCGTCATCATCTTCAACAGCAGCGTGGCTGGAGGGCCCACTGCCATGAACACTGGCAGCGTGTATGGCCTCACAAAGGTGGGCCCCAGGGGCTGGCTGTGCATCCATCCTGCAGGCGCTCTGCTGGGTTAGGGCCTAGGTGTCTAGTTGTAGCCGCCAGCAGCAGTGTGGGCGTTGACCCTGCATTTGTCGTGCCCCCTTCCTGCCCTCAGGCGGCTCTGAATCAGCTGGCAAAGAGCCTGACGTGTGAGTGGGGCAAGGACAACATCAGAGCAGTGTCACTGGCGCCCTGGTGAGCGCCAGAAGCCACGCTCATGCTGCCGCCCTTGGCTGCTGGCTGAGCCTCCGGCCGCCATGGACGCTGGCGCCAACATCTGCGGTTGTCTTGCGTGCTTCCGGTTGCTGAGCGCATCTCGCGATGCCACATGCAGGTTCACCCAAACACCGATGGTACAGTCCCTGCTGCAAGATGTGGAGTATGCGGCCAGGGTGCTGGAGTGCACGCCTATAGGTCGTATCGCCCAGCCGCAGGAGGTGGCACGAGTCGTCTCCTTTCTCGCTTCCCCGGCGGCATCTTATATGGCGGGCTGCACCATCCCTGTGGATGGCGGCTACAGCTGTAGGGGATTCTACTAGTGCAGCAGCACTAGGAGAGCAAGAATCGCAGAGTGTCAAGCGCGAGTTGGCCCCGCTGTTGTGCCCTGGGTAGCAGCACCAGAACAGCCTGTGCCGCCCTCTGCTGCTGTCCACGCACCACAGCAAGGCAGACCTGTGCGAGTTGTACCGCCTGCGCCTGCAGCAGGCAGATGGTGCCCGCCGACTTTGGCACCTCGTGTAGCAGGGCTATAGCCAGCAGACGGAATGATATGAGTTTATGTATTCCCCGTGTTTGACCATGCATTGCATGCAGTGCCTGGACCTGATAGCTGGCATATGGGCCAGACACCTGGCACATGTGCAAGGCAGCTGGCACGCCTCACCACAGATGTTGGCAGTCTCTCTTGCTAGGCCTTTTGATGTAAGGAACGCCCTGCATCACTGGTCAGACACCTAAGTGGGTTAACCCCGCCACACCTCGGCATCGCATCAATGCCAGTGAGTATCATACTTCGTTCAACCATTGCTGAGCCTTCCAGCTCGTTCTATGTGTCGGTCCGAGCCTTTCAGCTCGTTCTGGTTGCCAGATACATCGGGTGATACAGGAGAAGGTCAGAAAGCATAAGTTGGCGGTGACGGAGGCCAACTCAGTGCAGCGCAGGCGGGAGTCATGTTTGGGCGCCGTGATGCCGCGCCCGCGCCCTGCTTCAGCGCCTGCGTCTCCTCGTCGTTGACGCTTCCCTTTGCTTGGGCAGCCGCGCTGTCCTTCATGGCATGCAGCTTGGAGTGGCTGTCCCAGCCAAAGCCGCCCATGGCTAATACGCACCCGCATACCGTCTTGGGAGTAAACAACTCAATCTCTCCTGCAGGTTGGACGCAGTGGCCAAGACAGCAGCCGTTGAGACAACACTGTTCGCATGACGGTGGTGCAGCGTGCGACACAACAAGCAACGAAGCATTGTTTGGCAAGCAACGGCCTGGCGCGCCCACCCTGGCTGCACATGCCCGTGCTGCACGGCTGCTGGTCGGGCGCTATGGCGCCATGCATAGCCAGGCCAAGCCCCAGCCAGCATCGAAACCGCGAAACGCACCTGGGACGGCCTGCGGCGCCCATTCGACCTCTTGGTAGATGGCCCCCACTGAGGCTCCCTGGGCCAGACACCAGGTGCCTCGCCCGCTTCCAGGTCGGTGGCGCAGGGGCTCGGGGCTGTGCAGCCCTGGCTGCGCCTGGAGCGACCCCGCCTGCTGTTTCTTGGCCGCCATGCGCTTGTCGCTGCTAGCCGTGCATGCTCAGAAACGAAGCAGCGGGCCGCCCCGACAACAATAATCGGGGGCCGACGAGGACGCCGCCAGCGGCCCTCCACGATGCTGCAGCCAATTGAAAGGGACAGGAGCGAGCGTGTGCGGTTTTTAAATGCCTGCCCTCCCAACTCCCCGGTGCTGTCCTGCGGCAGTACGACTTGCTAGCCTGTTGACTCGCGATCTCCTGTCCCGTTTTCCGGTTGTTCCGATTTCTACACATGACAAAAAGACGGCAAGCTGCTCTGCCAGCGCGTCGATGGATGGTGGCGGCAGGCTCCGCCACAGGTCCAAGCTGCTGCCCAGCTCACCACCAGCCCGGCCTCTTCAGCTGCTTGTGCTGCTCCTGCACCGTGTTGGGCAGTCGGGAGCGCAGCTGCTCCGCGGCATAGGCTGCCGCCAGGTTGGACGAGAAGCACACGGTGCGGCCGTCGGATCGCAACACGCCCTTGCCCAGTAGCGCCCGCTGGTGCTCCCGGTCGGGCACGCTCTCCCGCCACTCTGCATGCCCGGGCAGGGACGGGCGGGCTGAATGTCAGCGTGGCACGCTTCGACGGGTTGGCTGGCCTGCGGTGACAAGCAGCGACACGCTGCCTCGCAAAGCGGCCCCAGCGCGCGCCAACCCGCTGCGCCGATGGCGCCCTCTTTGCTCTTGAGCAGCGCCTCCACCACCGCCAGGCCGCCTTCGCGCTGCGGGGTCTGGTCCAGCAGGCCTGCTGCCGAGTAGGCCATCTCAATCAAGTCGAACAGCTCCCGCTTGACATCTGCACGGCGCTGCGCAGGCGGCCCCAGGATGTCCCGACAGCTACAACTGTGGCATGATGATGGGGCATGCTGGTGCGCAGGGACAGCCTGACAGCAGAAGGCAACAAGGGTCAGTGCTCAAATCCAAGAGCCCTCCGAATGCGCGTCTGATCAACCCCCGCCAGCGGAGCGCACCTGGGAAGGGCATGCCGGCCTTCACCATGCCCGCGCAGCGCTGCAGCAGCAGCAGGCTGCCGCCCACCAGGTCGGCGCACTGCAGGCAGGCGGGCGCGCGGCTGGCCTCACTGGCCGCAGGCACCTGGCGGCACCACAGGGGCGGGTGCGGCCATGCGGCCATGCCCCACCTGCTCCGCCTGCTTGCCCTGCACCCCCAGGTGCGCCAAGTACTCCACCGCCTCATGCTGGCTGATGTCGGGCACGCGAAGCACGGGGGCCGCCCGCGACTGCGCCGGGTGGTCCCCTGCGCATGCGCGCCGATAAAGGGTCGGGCCAGGGGGAGAGCAGAGCCTCCAGCGCAAACCCTCCTGGCCTGCGAGCGCACGCCCGGCCACCTCCGCACCTATCAGCTTCTCCACAGTGTCCCACGTGTGTGCCACAAAGATGACCACCACCGTGCCGTCCTGCGGACACCGCGGCAGGGAGGGTGCAGCAAGGCAGCGACGGCGGCATCCCTTGCTGGTCCAGCCGGACAACACATCCCAGCGGCGCCGCCACGTTTGCGCTCACCTGGGCCCAGTCGCGTGCGTACGCGCGCATGGCCCCCAGCACCCGCTCCCCCTCCTCGCTGCTGGCCAGCCGGTCCGCGCTGTCGATCACCAGCACGAAGGGGCGGCCTGCAGGCGCAGGTCGGCAGCCGGGGCCGCAAGGGCCGTGTTGTTGGTGGTGTGTGCGGTCGCGATACGACCAGCCTGCGGCAGCCGGCCAGGGGCCGCGCTCCTGTATGAACCATGCCGGTTGCCGGGTTGCCACCTGCCCCACACACACCCACAGCTCGCCTGTCTGCTGGCGGAACTCACGGGCCGCATCGCGCAGCGCCTCTGCCGACTGCCGCACCGAGGCCAGCGGGTGCTTGCTGCCAAGGGGGCACACGTGCAAGGAGGGTGCCGCTCAGCCGTTTCTCCGTGCCCCTGGTTTCTACGGCTGCCACACCCGCCTCGCCAGCCCCAGCAGCAGCCCAAGCAGCAGCCCGGGGGTCATGCCACCGTTCCCCACGCGCCTGGCTCCACATGTTTCACCACCCTCACGCACACAGGTCACCTGCGTGGGTCCTCGTACTGCGTGCCCAGCATAGGCTTGGACACCACGTTGATGCGCGCTATGTGCTCCTGGAACCTGCGGCCGCGCATGCGGCATGAAACGCGGCCGCAGTCGGCTTCGCAGGCCCCATGCGCATGTAGCGTGCGGCACAGCTGCTGAGACTACCACCACCCCAGCTCAGCCCTGCGCTCGCCACCGCTCTCAGGCAGCAAAGCTGGTTTGAACCAGCTCTCCCTGCCCGGCAAGCCAGGCTCGGGCGGGGTGCGCGCCTGAAGTTGAAGGCGGCGCCCAGGTCCCGCCCAAAGTCGACCTCATAGGCGGGCGGTACATCAAGGTACCCCACCCCCCGCCCCACCTCCCGGCACGCCTCACGCAGCAGCGTGGTCTTGCCGCCGCCGGGCGGCCCCGTGACCACGTGGTAGAAGGAGGAGGGCTCCTGCCGCGCAGGCGGGGGTGGCGGGGAGGCGAGCGGGCACTCGCGCCACACATCCAGCTGGGATGGCGGCCGGGGCAGCATCTGCTGGCTTTTAGAGCGCTGCCGCGCGCTCTCCCATGCGCGGTTCAGGCGGGGAGCAGCAGGGCAGGGGCAGGGGCCCCACCTGTGGTTGCAGCAGCCCTCGCACTTTCTCGCGCAGCTCGGCGCGGGGCAGCACGGGCGGCGCCTGTGGCGGGGGCAGCACCCCGCGCATGAGCGTGTCCAGCACTGCAACATGGGGCGGTTAAGTGCGGTTGCTGTGGGTGGGTGTTGCTGTTGTGGGTGTAGGACACTGTCGCCGGGCCTCGGTCTTTTCCTGCCTCTAGACGAACCAGCAGGGTGACTGGCGGCCGCAGTGTGCCCACCCCTGCTGCACCTCCACAGCAGCTACGCCTCACCCGTCTTGTGGTAATACCAGTCGAAGGCAGCCGAGGCGCCGGCGTTGAGCAGCACGATGCCCAGCCCCGCCGCCACAAACAGGCGCAGCTTGCTCTTAAACAGGTCCTGCAGCACGGGGGAGCGGGCTGGAGTGGCGTGCTCTAGAGCGTTGTGCATCTACACTTGTGCAGAAGCTGGCGCGAGACGCGCCGCCCCGCCGCCACTCACACCTTGAACCAGCCGCCCTTGGCCGCCTCGCCGCCCTCCTTGGCCGCCTCCTGGGCCATCTGGCGCAGTGTGGTCCTCGAAAGGAGTGGATGGCGGGCTGCAGGGGTAGGGTTGACAGCACCCCCCGGCCCCCAGCCTGCCCTTCCAGCTCCCACAACCGCGGCTGCCGTGCTCCGCAGCATGGAGCCTGTCCAAGGTCGCAAAGGAAGGGAAGGCAGGTTGCTTTCTGTGCCGGTGAGGAGCTTTCCTCGCCGCGCTAGTGGGCACCGTCTGATTACACTGAGCCACAGCAAGTTGCATTCCCATCAAACATCCAACCAGGGACCCCACGATCACATCGAGGCGCGTTTGCCACCCCGGCTCAGCCTCCCCACCCGTTCGGCCACCACCGCCTGCGGCGCTCCTGCTGCTGCGCCGCACTGGCCAGCCGCCGCCGCCGCTGCCGCCGCCCCGCCCTGCCGCTGCAGGCGGGCAAAGTCTGTCCCCGTGATCATGCCCAGGACAAAGTCGTCTGTGAAGAGGTCGTCAGGTGCCGAGGCTGGCGATGGGAGCTGGCCTGGTGGGGCCGGGCGGCAATGCGCTCCTGCAACGGCGCTCGGATCGCCGCCTGGAGCGCCTGCCGGAGGAGGAGCCCGCTCTTTGACAGCTCGCCGCGCCTGCCGCTCCACAGGCGCAGCGCCAGCACCCATCGCCGAAGGCTGCCCCGGCGTGCCGGAGGGCGCCTGCCGCCATGCCCCAGCGCTGCCGCCGTCCCCGAGGGGAGCCGCTGGTGCGCCGCCTGGTGCCCCCCTCGGTCCCTGCTCCTCCTGCTGCTGCCGCTCTCCCTGCTGCTGCCGCTGCCGCGCGTCCAGCAGGAAGCCGGCGATGTCGCCCTGCAGGCCCCGGATGCCGCGCGAGATGGCCTGCAGCTGCGCCAGCGCGCCGCCGCCGCCGCCTGCGAGGAAGGCAGGGCAGGGGCGGGCGCTGCATCGCAGCTGACGACCACGCGCATATGCAGAGCATACACCGCCTCTATGCCCTACGCACACCTGCAGCACAGGAGCGTGCCACACAAGGCGCAGCAGTGCGAACAAGTGGCGGCCCTCCCCGCCGCTTGCTCTTGCTTGCCTGCCTCCCGCGGCCGCCTCCTGCTGGCCAGGTACGCCTTCCACACATCCAGCCCAGGGGAGCCCGGGGCAGGGCCAGGTGCAGCGTTTCCGCCAGCAGCGGCGCCGCCACTGGGCACAGGACAGCGCACGCTGGCGGTGCCGGCGGCTGTTATGCGGACTGGCTGCTGCGGCGGCGGCGCCGGTCTTGACGCCCGCCAGCCAAAGTGCGCGGTGTGGATGCTGCCGATGCTGATGCCAGGGCCGCTCTGCTGGCCGGCTACTGCCCCTGCCAGCGGGGCTGCAGCCTGGCGGGCGCCTGGCCAGTGCTGAGCCAGGCTGGCCGAGCGCCTGGGCTGGCAGCTTGCCCCTGGTGCTCTTGCTGTTGGGCATGCGGCCGGAGCTGCCTGCAGCCTGCCCCGTGCTGGGCTGCTGTAGCCTGCATGCTTGAGGCGCAGCAGGCGCAGCGGGGATGCAGCAGCCTCGCAGCAGCAGTCTGCCTCTGCCCTGCCACAGCCGCGGCATGGCGGGCGCGCCAGCATCAGCTTGCGCTGCGGCGCCGGCGGCGCAGGACGGGCACGGTAGGGCGGCGATGCCGCGGCCTGGGGCGCAGGTGCAAGCGGCTGGCGCTGGCTGCCCTGCTGCCGCAAGGGGCGCCTTGGGGGAGACTGGCTGGCTGGCAGCGCGGGGTGCGTGTCGGCATGAGTGGCCCATCCGCTGCCATGGCCCCTCAGGCCCGGACCTCTGGGAAGGGCCTGTGCGGCAGGGCTTGGCCCGCCGCCGCCGCCGCCGCCGCCACCACCGGTGCCACCGAGCCAGGCCAGCACCCTGGTCAAGCTGCGCCGCTGCTCATCCGTGGCTGCTGGGCCTGTCTGCCCTGCTGGTGCAGGCGCTGCTTGCCATGCGTCGCTGGCAGTGGCTGCCACGTCATGAGAAGCTCTCACCACATCTGCCGCATCAACAGGAGCCTCCAACGCATGCTGCTGCGGCGGCGGCTGCGCACATGTGCTGCCTGCCATGCCTTCCGGCTCTGCGGCAGTCTCTGATGCCTCCTCCCCTGCCGGCGCTGTTGCCACGTCATCCTCCTCCTCCCCAGGCAGCAGCATGCTCATCAGCTCCACCACCCCGGTATCAGCCCCTTGCCCGCCGCCGCAGCCCGCTCCCTCCGCCTCGCCATTCACATCCACTTGAGCGAGTGCCTGAGATGGAGGGGGCCAGCTATCTGCCCTGTGGCCCTGCGCCCGCTTAGGCAGTCCGCTCCTGCCCAGGAACTCTGAAGCGCGGCGCAGCTCGGCGCCTGCGCCACAGCGGCGGCCAGCGGTGGGAGGCAGTTGAGTGCGGCGACACGCCGCGTCCAGCGCTCCGGAGTAATTCTACCTACCAACAGAGCTCAGAAAGCCGTCCACATCAGTACGGCGGAGCCCCAGAGGCTCGCACTGATCTTGGGCCATGGACATGGCTCGCTTCGATCCTGCCCTGGCTTGCAGGCGCTTGGTATGATTGCGCAAAGTCAGAAAGCCGGCGAATTGGGGGTCCAAGGAGCGCATAACGGCCGCTTTCTTCGCGCCTCCACATCAGCTCATTCGTTTTAAAGCCAAGGAGCCCAGGGAAAGTGCCAGGCACTCCGAGCCATGCAATCATAGCTTTCTCTCATCTGTGGGGCACCTCCGACATCTCCGAAGCGCCGAAACAGGACAGCGATGGTGCGGGGCCTGCCTGGGCTGCTGGGCGTTGTGGGGGCAGGCCAGATGGGTGCAGGCATCGCTCAGGTTGCGGCCTCCAGCGGGCTCCAGGTGAGACGATGCCCGCCACCAGCGCCCGCCTCTGCCGCTCACGTGCTGGCTTCCGCCGCGCGGCGCCATCGCATATCCTGTGCCGTCTGGCACCCCCACTTGGTGCTGCCGCCGCCCGCTCCTCGCTGCACAAGAGCAGGTGCTGCTGGTGGACCGAGCTGCGGAGCAGCTGGAGCGTGCGGCGGCGGGCATGCGGCACTCGCTGGCCAAGCTGGGCAGGAAGGGCGCCCTGAGCGAGGACCCCGAGGCAATCCTGCGCCGCCTGCAGCACGCCACCGACCTGGAGGTGCGACGATGAGTGGAGGCATGCCTGAGGGTGTTGGCGCAACACGCAGACGCAGGCCAGTAGTGCCCACCGCTCCCTCAACTCCTGCCGCCGCCGCGCCGCTCGCAGGCGCTGTCGGCGGCCGACTACGTTGTGGAGGCGGTGCCCGAGGGCGAGGCGCTCAAGGCGGGGATCTTCCGGCAGCTGGACGGGCTGGCGCCGCCGCACGTGGTGCTCGCCTCCAACACCTCCTCCATCTCCATCACGCGCCTGGCCGCCGCCACCCAGCGCCCCGACAGAGTGGTGGGCCTGCACTTCATGAACCCGGTGGGTGGGTGGGTGGGTGGGTGGGTGGGGTGGGGTGGCTGGAGGGGGTGCATCGTACGCCGCTGGCTTGGGGGGGTGGCGGGGATGGGTGCCTGCGTATGGGGGCACCCGGCTGGGGCCGAGGAGCGGCGGCAAAATGGTGACGTGTGGCGCCAGCACGCCCCTGCCCTCCCCTGCTGCCCCGCCGCCAGGTGCCGCTGATGTCGCTGATCGAGCTGGTGCGCGGGATCCAGACCAGCGACGAGACGTTTGAGGCCACGCAGCGCCTGGCGCTGCACCTGGGCAAGACGACCTGCGTGTCGCTGGTGGGGCAAGGGAGGGAGGGCGCGCCGCGCTGCGCTGTGCTGTGCAGCTGCAGCAGCATGTTGCTGGCACCATGCCTGGCTGGACCAGCCACTGCTGGTGACGCCGTGTGAGCACCGCTGCCGCCTGTCGCCGCCGCGCCTGGCGATGCAGGACCGGCCCGGCTTCATCGTCAACCGCATCCTGGTGAGCCCGGCTGGGCCAGGGGCGAGGGGCTGCCGCCTGTGGTTGGCCACATGCTGCTTGCATCAGGCCCACCTGGGTGTTCATCAGAAGCACGTCCCAGCACGTGCGCGCACGGGAGCTGCCTCCCCCCTACCCGTGCTCTCTCCCACATACATGCACACGCGCACACACCACACGCTTACCACCAGCCACGGCACACGCCCACACGCACCGCCCCTGCAGATGCCCATGGTCAACGAGGCCTTCTTTGCGTTGATGGAGGGCGTGGGCACCGCGCACGACATAGACACGGGCATGAAGCTGGGCACCAACCAGCCCATGGGGCCCCTCACGCTCGCGGGTGGGGCGCCGCGCGGCTGCCCTCCATGCCCTGCCCCGCTGCCCCCCTCCATCTCCGCGCATGCTCAGCGTGCCTCGCCCAGCGCGCCCCCCACGTGCAGACTTCATCGGCCTGGACACGTGCCTGTCGATCATGAGGGTGCTGCACGCCAACCTGGGGGAGGACAAGTACAGGTGGGGCTGCAGGCCTGCAATGTGTGGGTGGGTGGGGGGGGGCGGTCAGCAGTGGGCTGCCCGGTTGGGCTGGGCTGGCCGCTGCGCTGGCTCCTGCCATGTCTGCTTGCTCCACTGACGCCTGCCCTGCTCTTCAATGTGCCTGCAGGCCCTGCCCGCTGCTCATGCAGTACGTGGATGCCGGCTGGCTGGGCAAGAAGAGCGGGCGCGGGGTGTACACCTACTCCTGACCGCATGCAGCGCATGTGGCGGTGCTGTTGCTGTGTACATTATGGAGCCCGATCACACACTAGATCAAACTTTTTAAAAAATATGTTGCATTTGCCCGGTGTTGCATTTTTAGTGCTGGCAGACGATGCTTTCCAGCCCGATGCCCCAGCAAAATTCAAGTGGTTCTCAGGAGCCCACGGCACCCCAGGGCCAGGCGGCGCCGAGTTCCGACACGCCTGCCCGCTTCGAAACGATTTTATTTGTCGGAATTTCGGCGTTCCAAGCCGGGGAGCCGAAGCAGCCCCTCTCCCGCTCCTTGCATGGCTTGTTCCAGCGCCCCTTTGGCCGCTAGACACCCCGCATGCTGCTTCGCAATGGCCTGAGAGCGGCAGGCTGCTTTGGCGAGAAACACAGCACCCGGGGAGCAGCGCTGCGCTCCCGCCGCCCGACCCCTCGTTCCTTGCGCCGCCGGCCACAGGTGCGCCATTTAAACAATCATTGAAATCGCAGCATCCTATGATGCTGCTGGGGACAAACACCAACATGGAATTCACCTGCTCCCCCTTCAATGGGCATGCCACTGCGGATTGCCCACCCCGCCCCAGCTGCTGTCGGCGCCCAACGCTGCTCCCGTCATCCGCTGCCGCAGGTGCCACGCCGCCCACATGTGCTGCGCCACGATGCTCCGCCGGGCGAAAACCCCATTGATTGGGTGCCGTGGCTGGGGGCTGCGGCCCGGCTCAAACTCTGGCAGCCAGCGGCTGCGGTGGTGCCCGCCGCTGCCGCCGCCGCCTTGCTGCTGCTGGCGGCTCCGCCACAGCTGGGCCAGCAGCTTGCACCCGCCGGGACGGGCGGGGAGGAGGCGCATGCAGCGGCGGTGGGCACCCATCAGGCAGAGCAGGGCCGCCTCTCTGGCAGCAGTCCAGCACCGCCAGTGGCCGCCGTGCCTGGCAGCGCAGCGGGGGCCGAGCCGTCGGGCCGGGGCCAGGCGCGCGGGCACGAGGCAGACGGCAGCGCGCGCCCGTTTGTGCTGGATGGCCCCACCTCCTGCGCCCTGGCCGTCAGCATGGTGGTGAGTGGCGCCCCGCTGGCGCAGCTGCCCATGCCTGCGCTTCCGCAGCGCATGCAGATACTGCTCCCGGCGCGCCGCCCACCTCGGCGCCTGCGCCCGCTACAGGTGGCGGCGCTGGCCAACTCGGCGGGCGTGGGCGGCGGCGCCTTCATCGTGCCGCTCATGTACCTGGGGCTGGGCTTTGGGATCAAGGACTCGACCGCGCTGTCGCAGGCCGTGATCGCGGTGAGGGCCCCGCCGGCCACGCTGCCCCGCCAGCCCCTCCCCGCGGCATACCGGCCGCTCCCCGCGGCAACCGGCCCCTGTGCAGGACGGTTGGCATACCGGTACCGCGGTCCCCCACACGCACATCGTGCTGCTTGGCCTCTGCTGCCCTGGCTGAGAGCCCTGCTGTGCCCATGCGTCGCGCAGGGCGGCGCGCTGGGGTCTGTGGTGTGCTGCGTGGCGCAGCCGCACCCGCTGGACAGGTGCCGCCCGCTGATCGACTACCGGCTGGCGCTCATCATCACCCCTCCGCTGCTCCTGGGGTGCACCACGGGTGAGCTGCAGCGCTGGCTGCGCACCGCGGTACGGTGCAAGGCCGGGGGCGAGGCGGCGCCGGGTGGCCCAGCTCGGGTGTGGCATGCTCCATGCTGGTGTGACCCCCTGTGCCCCTGCCCTTGCCCCGCCCTCGCCCCGCCTGCTGCGCAGGCGTGCTGTTCAACCAGCTGCTGCCCAGCTGGGGCGTCACCCTGCTGCTCATCCCGCTGCTCTGCCACCTCACCCACCGTACCGCCTGTACCGCCGCGCGCCTGCACCGCGCCGAGGCCTCCATGGCCACCCTCGACCGCTGGCTGTCGGTCGAGGAGCTGCAGCAGCTGCAGGCGGCGCAGGAGCGGCTGCGGGCGGAGGCGGAGGCGGAGCGCGCGGCGGCGGCGGCGCGGGTGCCCCAGGGCTGCCCGCCGCCCTGGCTGCACGGCCTGGAGCTGCTGGCTCTGTGGGGCCTGGTCCTAGGCTTCCAGCTGGGCAAGCAGGCCTTTGACCGCTGCTCCTGGCAGTTTGGCGCGCTGTACGGCGGCCAGGCGGCGGCCACCCTGGCCGCCAGCGCCTTCTTCATATGGCAGGTGGTGCGGGAGCGGGAGCACGGGTGCGGGTGCGGCGAGCACGGCGCCGTGCCGCCGCCGGGGGCCCCGCAGGGCGGCGCGGCGCGGCTGTACGGCCCCACCGGCGGCGACTCCTCCTCCTGGGAGCTCCAGCGGCTGGTGTCGTCGGCGGGCGTGGCGCTGGCGGGCGGCACCGTGGCGGGGATGCTGGGTGAGGCGGCACGGCGGCTGCTGCCACGGTGCCGCCGCTTCAAGCGAATGCCCCCCTTTGGAGCAGGCCGCCGCGCCTCGCCTGCTCCTTGCCTTTGGATGTGCAGACAGCAGCCGAGCTTTTTGCTTTTTTGCGTATTGCTGTTTGTGTTTATTAATACAGTCTGCAAAGGAACTTGCGACGCAGACCCCCTGGTGCTTGCGCGCGCCTCCCTGCAGGCATCGGCGGCGGCATGATTGTGGGGCCGCTGATGCTGGAGCTAGGCATCCACCCGCAGGTCTCTTCCGCCACAGCCTCCGCCATGGTCCTCTTTTCCGCCAGCTCAGCGGCCGCCTCGTTCGCCCTGGAGGGCCGCCTCAACACCGAGCACGCCGCCGTGTTTGGCGTCGCCTGCGCGGTGGCGGCGTACGTCGGGGTGGAGCTGGTGGGGCGAGCGGTGCGGGCCAGCGGCAAGTCGTCGCTGGTGGTGATGCTGCTGGCTGGCCTCATCGGCGCCGGGGCGCTGCTCACCACCCTCTTCTCCGGCGCTGACGCCGTGGCCGACCTGCTGAGCGGGCGGGCCGCCGGAATGGGCAGCTTCTGCGGCCCCCGCTGACCGGCGCGGCGGGGGAGCGCTCGGCGCCGCCCTGGCGTGTACACTAGCCGCTGTTCCATTCTCCCTCTGTGCTCTTCGCCCATTGTTTGTTTGCGGGTGAAAAAAGAGTGGCAGGCGTGGCACCTGCATGCTGTTACCCCCTGGGCGCCTGCTGCCGGCATGCTAGCCTGCCACCACCCCCTGTTGTGCCGTCCCTGACATTTTGCATTGTTTGTTAGCGACCCCGCACTTATTTTTGCAGCCCACTCCATTGCCTGGTCCACCGATTTGCTTGCCCACTGCTGCTTGCTGTCACACGCACGCATGCTGTCGGCAGTGCAATTCTAATGCTGGCCTGGCCCCTCTGTGTACTCCCAAACACACCCTGTTGGTTCTTCTTTTCATTTTTTAGCACCGACTCAACTACAGTCCCTGCTCTCCCCACTTTTCAATGTATGACACCCTCCACTGCGACACCCTGCGCTTATTGTATCCCACTCTGCCAACGTCCAATAATAGTTTACAGCGCGCCGGCAAGCACGGGGGAAACGGGGTGGCAACGGGAAGGGAGCTGCAGCGCTCGCGTCGCATCGGCGCCACCGAAGCAAACAGTGCGGCAGTTGCGTTCAGGGCAGTTTGGCAAAAGTTGGTGGCACAGGCTGCAAGCCGTGGTGCAGCCACATCGATGTCTCTAGCTCACACAAGGTTAGGCATACATGCAAGGGGTGAGTCACAGTGGTGCAGGAGCGAAAACACTGGAACACAGGAGAAGACAGAACACAAGAGGTGCTGCCGGCGCTGGGCGCGGCATCGCCCGACAGGCGGCAGCGCACATGCAGGCGGCTGCCAAACAGGCACGCCAGACCGGCCGTAGCCAACAGTCCTGCGCTCAGCGGCGGCGCGCCTTGGCGGTGGCGGCGGCGGCGGTGCTGGTGCCGCCGCTCCGCAGGTCGGCGACCTTTTGTCGGATCTGCGGTACGGGCGGCAGGTCGTTGCTGTACAGGTAGGTGCCACCCAGCACCAGCGCAATCACCAGCAGGCGGAACCAGCGGGAGGACCACCAGGCCTCGCCGCCGCCGCCGCCAGAGGAGCCGCCGCCGCCACTGCCGCCGCCGCCGCCGCCGCCGCCTGCGGGGTTGGACCAGGGCCGGGCAGGCGGGGTGGCAGCTGGGTTCAATGGGCAAGCAGGAAGGGTTGAAGCATGGGGGCAAGTGCCAGCGCGGCAAGAGGGCGGATGGGAGGGAGCGGGCGCCGGCACCACACGTGACCCACCTGAGCCGCCATCGCCGCCAGACCCGCCGCCGACGGCGGCCGCCAGCTTCGCGCCTGCCGCGGCGCCCGCGGCGGCGCCCGCCACGCCGGCGCCGGCGGCCTGCTTGGGCGCGCCGCCTGCGCCCGCCTGGCCGCCGCCGCCGCCGCCGCCGCCGCCCATGGGTGCGCTGAGGTAGGCTACGTGATCGCTGGGCCGCCGCTGGTCATCCCCAGCGCCACCCGCCGCCGCCGCCGCCCCCGCCGCCTTCTCCGCCGCCTTGGCCGCCTGCGCAGCAGCCTTGGCGGCGGCCGCCGCCGCCTTCTCCTCCTCCCGCTTCCTGGCCGCCGCCGCCTGCTCCGCCTCCCGCTGCTCCTTCTTCTGCCGCGCCTCCTCCTCCCTCCTGGCCCGCTCTGCCTTTCTTTCAAGCTCCGCCGCCTCGGCCGCCGCGGCACGCGCCGCCTCCGCCCGCTCCTTCTCCGCAGCAGCCTCCAGCGCCGCCGCCGCCGCGCGCTGCTGCTGCTGCACCAGCAGGTCGGCGGCGGGCGGCGGGGCGGCGGCGGCGGCGGGCGCGGCAGGCGCGGGCGCTGCGCCCTTGCTCTCGCCGCCGTCCAGGCCGGCGAGGTCGTCGGAGCTGCCGGGACGGGACAGGAACCAATCCATGAAGGCCGAAGGGTCCCGCCCCACCAGCCTCAGCCCGCCTGTGGGCTGCTTGGGCGCCGCCAGCAGGCCGTCCACTGTACAGGCAGCGGGACGGGCGCGGGCGGGAGGGCCGTGATGGATGGACGGGCAGGCCGGGCAGCGCCGCCACTGCATGCATCTTGCCTCCGGAGCGGCCGCAGCGGCCCGCCGCGTATATGAAGCGCATGTCAAGGCAGGGCGGGAGCGTGCCGCCGCCGCGCACCCGAGCTCTTGACCGCCGCCGCCGCCGCCGCCGCGTCCTCGGCGGGCTGCGCCGCGCGGCCCGGCTCCAGCGCCGCCGACACCTCCCGCGTCAGCTGGCCCCAGTTCTGCGCCCCCTTCTCAGCCTCCTGGGCGGTGCGCTCGTTGGCGGCTGCGGCGGCGCGGCGGCAGCGACACAGTGCGGGTGGGCGAGAGGCGTAGAGCTGGCTCCGGCCCCGGCGCAGGCGCACATGCAGCGCCCGCCGCCATCGCTGGCTCGAGGGGGCGCCAGCAGCGGCGCAGCACAGCACACGCGCAGCCAGTCACCCCACAAGCACACGCTGCTGGCGCGGCGTCGACCGCCGTGGCCGCCGCAGCCACCGGCGCGCCGCACCCGCAATGCTGCTGCCCAGCTCCTCTGCCGCCTCCCCCAGGTTCTGCCCCAGCCCCTCCAGCTTCCTGTTCAGGTCGCTGCCAGCCACATCCAGGCTCTCTCCCACAGCCTGGCCCCACTCCTGCAAGGGAAGGCAGCCAGGCGGCGGCCGGCATAAGAGCGTGCTCGCTCGCCTGCTCGCACCCACACCCTGCAGCCGCTGCCAAGCAGGAGGCCGGCTGCGGCGGGCAGCGCGCAGGCACCGCCGCCCTCCCTGCGCCAGGCTCCCAGGCGCGCCGCCTGGCACGGCAGCCAGGCCGGCGCCTGCCTCCGGCAGCCGGCGGCTCGCGGGTGGCGCCCGGGCGCCTGTGCCCTCTCCTCTTCCCGCCCACCTGGAGGGCGGTTGGGCCGCCAGAGGACAGCCACTTGCCCACGCTGCTGACGCCGAGTGCTGTGACCTGCACCGGGGGCGCAGCACCGCAGCCAGGCGCGTCGGGGGCAGGCGGGTGGCGGCGGTTGCGGGCGATGCAAGGCTGGGGCGGCGGCACAGGGCTAGGGTTGTTGGCGGCGGTACGGCTGTGTGTGCGGCGTGGCAGTCGCCTGCCGTGCAGCACCCCGCCGCATCGCTCACCGCTCCCACCAGCTTGCCGCCTGTGACCAGCAGTCCGGCGGTGGCCTGCAGGTCGGCCGCGGTGCTGGACTTGCTGCCCGGCTGCGACGTGGCGCCGCCGGCGGCGGCGGGGCTTGCAGCCTTGTTGCGGCTGCCACCCTCGCTGCCCTCGCCACCCCGGGCCATCACGTGCACTGGGCAGCGGCTGGTGCGGCGCAGGGGGGCATGGAGCCCGCCGGGCAGCCTGCCCCCAGCGCACCCAGCTCGGTTCCCCACCGCCTGGGCCTGCATCCTGAAGGGCGGGCTGGCGGGGGATCCAAAGGGTTCTGATCGCCAATTTTCGACAGCGCCATCGCGGGCAGTCGGCCAGATTGGCGCCAAGGTGAGGCCGGGGTCGGAGGGCCCTCGGTCTTAGCCCTCCCCCCGGCACCGCCCCTCCTTCTCGGATCGCTGGTGGTCAGGGCTGGTGCAAAGATGCAGACCGCAGCAGCTGTGCAGTGCAAGCCGGTGTGTCGGCCTATGGCCGCCCGGCCCCATGTGGCCAGGCGCCCAGCGCAGCTTGCGGCCTCCGCGGCGCCCATTGCCCGCCCCACCTTCTCCAGCACCCTGAACCAGCGTACCCTGAAGGCTGGCCGCGTGGCGAGCCGTGTGGTGGTGGTGAAGGCTGAGGGTGGCGATAAGGCAAGTGTCGATGATTGGCACTGCTGCCGGCAGCCTTTGGCGCTGGCGGCCACCTGGGGCGGGCCAGGGAGGGCAATGTTCCATGCCTGCAGCCGCGATCCCTCGCAAAGATGCAGTCTTGCGCTTGCGCCGCCCCCCGCCGCCGCCGCTGCCTGGGGCCTTCCCCGCCAGCCCCGCGGCCCTGGCTGCAGCCCGCTCAGCGGCCCCGCCCCTGCCCCGCCTGCAGATCGTGGTCATCGGCCTGGCCGCCGACTCTGGCTGCGGCAAGAGCACCTTCATGCGCCGGTGAGGCGACGGCAGCAGGCGGCCGGCGCACAGCTGGTGCACAGTGGCGCTGCCGCCAGGGCCGCCGCCGCGCGCCGGCCCCGGCGCACCGCCGGCGCCGTGTGGGCACCTCCCGTCCGCTCCACACTTTCTTCACCACCTCTCCCATGCACCCTCCCCGCCACCCCTCCTCCTCTCGCCGCCCTGCGCTCTGCTCTGACAGCACCCCCCCGACGCGCGCCTCCCTCACCCACCCCGCAGCGTGACGGGCATCTTTGGCGGCGAGCCCAAGCCTCCCTCCGGCGGCAACCCCGACTCCAACACCCTCATCTCCGACATGACCACCGTCATCTGCCTGGACGACTACCACTCGCTGGACCGCAACGGGCGCAAGGAGGCGGGGGTCACCGCGCTGGCGCCCGAGTCCCAGAACTTTGACCTCATGTACGAGCAGGTGCGCTTGGGGGGCAGGGGCAGGGCTGGGCCGGCACCGAAAGCTGGCTGGCTCTGTAGCAGGCAGGCAGGCAGGCAGCGCTGGCGGTCCATGGCGGCGCGGCGGCATGTGCGGCTCGCCGCGGCGACTGCTGCGCGCTGCCCGCTGCTCAGGGCAGGCCAGGCGCGCGGGGGCGTGCGTGAGCGCGCGGGCGAGTGTTGTGCCGGCGGCAGGAGACAGCCAGGCCCAGGCCTGCGAGGCGGCCGGCGCCATACGGAGCTCAGCGGCCAGGAGGGGAGCAGCGCTGGGCAGGCGCAGGGCGTGCGGTGCCGGCAGCAGCACGAATGGCCAGCAGCTGCCGGCTGGGGGACCTGCTTGTCCGCACCCTGCAGCGGGGAGGCAGCCAATGTGCGGCATGCCGCCACGCCGGCTCCCTCGCATACGGCTCTGCAGCAGGCTGCTTGCCCGCCCCGCGCCGGCCGCAGCCGCGGCGCCAGCAGCGAGCACAGTTGGATCGGAACTGCCGCGCCGCCGGGCGGCGCCCGCAGCGCAGCGCAGGCCTGCACGCCGCCTCCCGCCGCCAACTCCGCGGCCTCGCCTCGCCGCCCGATCCCGCGCGCGCCGCCCCTCC